GTACCCGCCGCTTTTTTGCCCTCCCCTATGGTCTCCCGAAAACTTATACCTCCTCATTAAATACTTTGAGCTATACTTTTTTTTTGCGCAGTGGCCATTACCATAACCTTGTGCAACTTTGTTGCTCCCGCCGCGCGCACGCGGAAGAAATGCCAAAGGTCTACTATGTTATTTTGCTGACGAAACGTTTTTGTCTGTGTGTTTTGCAGGCGGGCAGGTGCCGGGCACGGGGCTCGTGCCGAAGACCAAGAACTCCATCTCGGTGCTCAACTGCCTCGTTGCCCGGGACCTGTGCTTCAACGACGTGGCGTGCGCCTCCATCCTCGAGTTGATCCCCAGGGTCTGCGGCCCGGAACTGGGTGAGTCTGAGAGGGAGCCCGCGGCTGGCCGGAGGGTGCCACGGGACAGTGAGGAAAATAGACTGGTCTGCTCATACTAATTGAATATGTCCGAGACCAATGCACACAACTTTCCGTTTCAGGCATTCAAAGAGTTTTGAAGCATTGCTTGCAATGCAGTTCGGTCGGACTAGTTCTTTTGTAAACTTAAGTTACTATTGTAAACTATTTTTCTGCAATACGAACAAATTGTTAGCAATGATTCTGCAAGTTGCGAAGAATACCTTCGCAATAAATACGAACTAATTCTTTGCAATAAAATGATCGAGAATTCTTTATTGCACGGTTGTCAAGAATTTAGTTTGCAAGCACCCTGCCTGCAGGTTGCAGGACGCGGTAAAAACAAAAACAAATGCCTGATTTTTTGAGGAAAAGAGAAAACTTTGAGAGAATGTCAAATAGTTTTCACAAAACATGAGAGTTTGAGTTTGTCAAAAGTTTTCCCTTGTAACCCAAAAATCAGACATTGTTTTTGTCGTGCTATTCCATGGCGTACCCCTAACCTCATACATATGGCAGTCACTTGAATTTGAAAAGCACCTGCAGCGGATACTCAAAGGCCCTTGCAACCTGCGGCAACGGTATTTCATTTATGTTTTTAATTGGGGGTGCAAAAGATAATGAGATGAAAGTGAATATCCGAAGGCCCGCGGCCCAGCACAGCGGGTAGCCTGCGCCTGACGCGGCACATGATTGGAGGGGGAAATGGGGAGAACCACGACGACGGTGAAGAGCTGTGCCATCCCCACAGTGGGAGTTTTGTCCTAGTCTCTCTCTCTCTCTCTCTCTCTCTCTCTCTCTCTCTCTCTCTCTCTCTCTCTCTCTCTCTCTCTC